GGTGATGATGATGATGGTGGTGGTGATGGTGATGAAGATTGTGGTGATGATGGAGGTGGTGATGATGGAGGTGGTGATGATGATGATGGTGGTGGTGATGGTGATGATGGAGATGGTGATGATGATGGTGATGGTGGTGGTGATGGTGATGAAGATTGTGGTGATGATGGAGGTGGTGATGATGAGGTGGTGATGATGGTGGTGATGATGATGGTAACCATGGTGGTGGCAATGATGGTGGTGGTGGTGATGGTGATGATGGTGGTGATGGTGATGATGGTGGTGATGGAGCACCACAGTGATAATGATAGTGGTGACAATGGTGATGATGGTGATGATGGCTGAAGTAAAACAATACTTTAAGGACCTCCTTTCACTTGGCAGTTTCTTTTCTGAACTCTCAGAGATAACTCTAATTGTTAAATGATTGGATCTTTCCAGAATAAAGTCACAAGAATTCATTTTCGTGTGACGTTCCTCAAGGCCTCCATCTGCATCCTCAGTGAAGGATGGCCTGGAGAGGGTGGTGCAGTTTGGGGCCTGAGAAGAGGGCCTGGGAGTGAGCCTCAGAGCAAAGGGACTCAGGATGCCAGGCTCAAGAGCAGATGGCCTCCCACACCTGGAGGCAAAGCTGTGGTGGCCCTACCCTTTGTAGCACCAGCATAGCTGGGGACATCCCCTGGAAGGCTGGCTATTGGGATAGGACATGAGCTGCAGCAGAAGGGGAAGGAAAGTAAACCAACTGTGACGTGAGCTTCCTGCCCCCTGAGCCAGCCTATGGAAGTGCTTTGTCCATAGGGATGTGTGCACAGCCCCCACTCCCACCCCCATGAGAGTAGGGGACTGGGTACATTGTCCATGGCAGGTGAAGGGCTTCAACCCAGGAGCCCATGCTGACTGTGGAACCACATGGCCTCCCGGATAGCCCCAGGCCCCAGAAAGAGAAGTCCTGGGTTGTCCCTCTTTGCAAGGAGCCTCAGTGTCAACACTGCGGCTGAGTATCAACTCCAGATGGCAGCCTATCCTGGGGCACTGGGGACCACACAGTGATCACCTCTCCTCTCTACTGAGCTCCCAGGAGTAATCACCCCATTTGAGGATGAGGAACCTGACCCAGGCCTGACTCTCCCTGGCCATTGGGTATCAGGGTAGGTTTAACAGGCACTTGGCACTTGGACACCCCCAGAGCCATCACCAAGGATGCTGAAGACAAGACCACAGGCTGTAAAGCCAGGGTCCAGCTCTGCCAGCCTTCGACTTGCTTAGAGACCAGATGGTTGTTAATGCCCTGGGGGCCACAGTGGTGAGGACAGTGGCCATATGCTAGCCAGGGACTGGGAGGACAAGGCTGCGGTGCTATGGAGGGCCACAGCCATTCCTTGTGCTCCCCATGCCAGGGGCTGAGGCCTTCATCAGCATCTGTCTGCCTAGCAGCACAGCCCAGCTCTTTCCGCCACAGAGCTGCAGGTTAGAGCCCTGTGACACCATTCCTGAGCCACACAGCCTGTAGGCAGTGGCCATGTCCACTGTGGCATCCTCCCTACTGCAGTAAGCCCAGGTAAACAGCCGGGCAGGGGCCTGTCCGGGCTGCAAGAGCATCCCTAGAACAGCTGGCTGCAGACTCCCTGCCAGCAAGGGTGCTCTGGCTCCTGCTCTTCACTATTCCCAGACACAGCCAGGCTGCCTCCCCCTTTCTGTGTGGCTAAGGGAGACTAAGGGGACACATGGGTGACATACAGAGGGGGGACCGGGACTAGGACCATGACCATTGTCATGTGACTCTCCGGCTGCTCGAAACTGGATAGGCTAGGCAGGATAGGCTGCCATGCTTCACAGGAGCTTCTGGGGAGAACCCCTGCCTGGGAGCACACAAGAAGTCCCAGAGCCCCCTGTAGGAGGCAGTCAGGGTAGACCCCGAGTCAGGGAGGACCATTGCTCTAGGGAGGACTCTCTAGGACAGGAGGGACCTTCCAGCTACCCAGGCCTCTAACGTCACCCAGGACTGGTCTTACTGCTCACTTTCTGAAAGGAGCCCAGGGTCGGGCCCTCAACCCCCCCACCCAGAGTGACTCAGTGCCACAGTGTCCAGGCAGGGTAGGGGGCACTGCTCCCTCTAGGAAGGCCCCAGGCTTCCAGCGGTGGGCGGGGGGGGGGGTGCTGCATTAACCCCAGTATGTCCTGGGCACCTGGAGCCTGTGGACTAGCTCACCAGAGGTTCACCAGGAAGACGTGCTCAACCTCCTGCAGGATCTCCAGCTCCCGGAAGACGTTGCGGACCTCGTCACGCTCGATGCACTGCTGCTTGTTCATGTACTTCATGGCGTACATCTTCTCCGTGTCACGCTTCTGCACAATGCACACCTGCAGGGCAGGGGCCGCTCAGGACCGCGCCCCACGTGAGCTCCACCCCCCTGCCTCCTGGCTGGCAGGAGGGGCTCTACACCTGGGACACCTAGTCTGCAGCAGGCAGGCTGTGAACGGGCACCTTCCACCGAGAGCACTGGGTGTGAGCCGGAGCTGCTGGGCGGAGGGCAGCCCCTCACCTGACATAGGGGGCTTGACCTCCCACATGCCAGTACTGCTTCCCTGGGGCTGGGGGCAGGTGGAGAATGGCTGGGAGGACCCACCTCAACGGGGCCCTGCACCTCAGAAGCCACACCAGCTACCCATAACCTCAGCAGGGACACCCACCTAGTGCTTCCAAAGGCCTCCCCTCCTTGAGTCTCAGCACAGCAAGGGGCAAGTCTCTTCCACACTGTCCTGCAAAGGCAGAGCCACAGGCACCAGGTTCCCCCCACAATAGAGCCTTCCATGATGTCAGTCTCCACACACACAAGGTGTGATACCCTATGGGAATTGAACTGTTGGTGTCAGCTAGCAAGGTGGCATTGCTCAGACACCGCTAAGATGTCGCTAATTGCTTGCACACAGGATCAATGTGAAGCAGCAGTGAGAGACGTAAAATGAGCTAGAGCCTCTGGTGGCCAAGGACGTCAGTCAGAATAGAGAGCAAGATCTCCAAGCAAAGCCAGGAATAAAGACAAAAATCGTGGGTCTGGAGCCACTGCCCCTTCTCCCTGCCTGCCATGGGGTGACTGCTCAGGACACGTGACCAAAGGTATTCCTGAGCCCTTCCACAGCCTCAGGTCCTGGATCTTTTAGGACAAGGAGCCTGAGTGGGAGGCATGAAGAAAGTGTGATTCTGGAAATCAAAGTGGATGGGAGGGTTTGCTCACCCAAAGGCAGGCAGCCTGGCACTGGGACCTCTCGGCGGAGTCGGTCTCAGGCCACACCTGCTAGATGCAGCCCTGGGAGAGACCCACATTCCCTTTTCCAGAAATGAACCCAAGACAGGGAGTCTCTACATCTGAGTATGGTCACCACGGTGCTGTTCATACCACCCAGCATCTCACACAACCTTAACACCTAACAACCTGATGACAGGGAATGAGTAGGCTCAGTGAAGACGCGCTATGCCGGACTAAGACTCGTGAGGACTGTAAACAGCATGACGACTCTAATAATGCCAACACTGCGGTTAAGCTGCCCCATTCAGCAGGTGCAATGTGGAGATGGCACTGACATGGACAGGAGCCAGGCATGAGCACAGCTACACTGGCAGGTGGGGACATGGACAGCCCCTTCTTCTTTGCGCTGGTCTCTGTGACATCACTGTGAAGGTGTCTGGTGACAGACACATCTTTTGCACATCTTTTATCTGTGGTGTCAGGTTTTTGGGGTTTCTGGACATGGCAGCTGAGCAGCTTCTCTCAGCCTGAGCCCTAAATATCTTCCAGGCATGGGGACCTTCCTACGCCATAACTGTGGTTTCCAAGGCAACATCATGCACACCAGCACACGGGCCACCCCACAGGCCCACGAGAGGCTGAGCCCACAGGTGACCCCATAGCACAAAGGTGGCACCTTGCCACAGCTGAGCTGCTCCAGCCCAGCCACCCCACAGCCCAAACCCACAGCGTGGTACAAACCCAGCCAAGCCCCTGTGCAGGCCACCAAGACTCCACAAAGGAGGCCCCCAGCCCAGGGACACAGGCATGGCCTAGACAGGCACACTTCTTGCCTCTGAAGACCACCCTCTGGTCCCAATGTGGGGAGGGGCAGGCACCCTGTGTGTGGCCGTGTGGGGACTGAGACTGGGGTAACAACACATGGGGCAAGGCAGGATGCAGGCCGCAGGTGCATAGAGCCGGGCCCAGCCCTGGAGCGGAGGCCACCACTCATGATGGCACAGACAGAGACGCAGAGTTTCCTGCCTCCCTGGTCCTTGGGGAATGGAGGGGCTGGAGTCCACTCTGTAAGGGGCACAGCCCCAAAAGCAGCACCAGGTGAGCTTGGGTCTGGGCAGAATTTCCTTGGTGGGCACGGTGACACTGCCCTGAGGCTACTCCCTGGGAGCTTCATGTGCTGGGGGTCTGCCAACCAGACACTGTGGGGCTGGAGAGCAGGAGGCACCGAGGTGAGCACGCAGGAGTGACGGGATCGGCTTGTGTCCTCCCAGTTTCAGCCTGCACACCCCAAGCAGTTTCTGTCCAGGGCCTGCTCCTCCTCTCCAGCATCACAGCCTGTGAATCCTGTGATGCCTGGTCTGCCCAGGTGCTGCACTCGAGCACTGCTCAGGGAGATGTGTGAGTGAAAGGCCCTTTGCAGGCAGCTCTGATCCCTGGCTAAGTGATGGCCCAAGGGTATCCACATCCCAATCCCTGGAGCCTGTGGTGTGTCCCTTGCATTGGAGGAGGGACTCGGCAAGTGGAGCAATACTGGATTATCTGGGTGCACCCTGACACTGTCACATGTGTCCAGGGGAGATCTGAGACAGCAGGAGAAGGCAAAGTGACAACCGAGGTGCTATGTGGCCGGCCTTGAAGACAGAGGCCTCAGCATAGGGCACCCAGGGCCTGCCGAGAAGGCCTCAGATGGCACAGGTTGGACGTGTTTTTCTGTGTTCCCATGTTTTCCATGGCCTCCCAATCTGAGGAAGTCACCCAGAAATGCAGAATGACAGGGAGGGGAGGACAAAAACCACAGACACAAAAATATGACTGCACTTGGCAAGTTGTGATCATAGCACGTGAAAGCCACCACCTGCTCACACCTGCTCAAGGATTGCTCTCCTGGACTTTGGAGCGCAGGACTAGGAGGCAGTAGGTCCTCCTCTCTCAGGAGCCTGCCCCTGCAGAGGGATGGGGGGCTGCCTTAGGGCCTCTGAGTTTGAGGCCAGGGAGGGCAGCCCCAGAGCCTCAGACACTCCTCATCCCCCCACCAGGGCTCCCTCAGTGTCCACGGCTGGCTGAGTCCCCAACGGCTGCACTTGCCCCAGAGACTGGTGGCCCTGCCAGTTCTAACACAGCAGGTGGAGAACCACTCCTCAGGGGCCTGTGGGCTCATGTCCTGGAGCTGGGGACCCTGGCTGATAACAGGGTATTAAAATGGGCTTAGCCAGAAACACAGCAACATTCTCCAATGCTGAACTACAAGGCCATAGGCCTAAGGGACCCAAACATGACTAAGTCCCACACCAATAACAGGATCAGCTCCTAATGACATGGACCAAGTGCACGTGCAAACCACCCCCACTCCGCCCCCTTCCCTGGGTCAGTGGAGAAGAGCCCTGACTTCCCAACAGGCCGAAGGGTCCAGCCAGGCAGGGCCACCTCCAACGTTGAGGGAAATCAAGGCAGCCCAAACCGGAGGGAAGCCTGTAAGATGTGGCCACTGCTGCTCACACTCCAGGATTCAGTGAAATTAGGAAGGAGGAAACCCTCTGATGCTTCCAGAGTGGATACTGCCAACCTCAGTTCTCCATTATAGGAAGGATGGGCCATCCACCCCCATGGAGGCCAGAGGAAGCTGTGCAGTTTGGACTTGGACGAGAATCCCACCAGCTTTGCGGATCCAGCCCTCCTGTGGGCTGTGCTATCCCCGTTTCCCTGGACGGGCAGCACCCTCGTGCTCAGTCTCCTTGGTGAGTCAGAGCAGATTCCCAAACCTGTGAGGCGGCAGGAGATGGTGCCACACAGAAACGCAGTGTGAGCAGGGCCCTCCTCCCCTCAGCACCGCAGAAGGGACAATTCTCTGCTACTAGGCAGGCAGATCCATCTCCAACCTCAGTCAAGTGCCTGGGGCTTCCATTTGCACTCGAGAACCAAACCCATAGCTTCCTCTGAGCGGCCAGAGCAGACATTGGTGCTAACCCTATCTTGGGCACTGGCCCTTCTCCTGGGCTCTGGACGTCAGGATCTGGCTCTGGACATCAGGGTTCAGCCACTGGTAAGGTCCCTGCTCTGGATCTCTCTTGGGAATCCCACACAGCCTCCACACAGTGTTTGGAGTGGGCCAGACAGCCCCCCTTCCTCCCAAGTCCCCCTTCCTCTTCTCACCCATCTCCTGGGTCCTTCCCAGGACAAGAAGTTCCTTAAGACAGCTGGGATCTGTGGCAAGGCATTTTTTATCCCATTGTCTTAGTTTTTTCCCCTAAAAAGCTGCAAAATGCAGGAGCCATGGGCCTGGGCCTAGCCCTTGGTCCTTGAGGTGGGACTGTATTCTTCTCCCCCCCTCCCAAGTATAAGCCCAAGCAGCATGCTGGTAAGAGCCCCATGCCAGGTCTACACCCAGCCACTGGGAAAGAGTCCCAGGCCTTGGAGGGTAAACCCCACCAATTCCTGTTGGCCCAGACAGGGCAGAGTAGAGTGGCTGGGGCGAATCTGCTCAGGTGCAGAGAGAGGGGGGGAGCATGTGGGGGGACGGGGGTATGCAGACCAAGGAAGGGGAGTTGGAAAGAAGGGAGGAGCCCACCCAGAGTTAGGGCCGGCACCCAGGAGCTGGAGGAGTGGGGTGCAGGACCGAGCCTGGGTTTCTACCTCAGATAGCCAGCTGAGCCCGCTGCTCCAAAGCCAGTAAGGACTTGAAACATTCATCCAAGGCAGGGGGCTCTTGGACTCCCAAAGGGACCCCCACCCCCCGTACCGCCCAGGGGCTGTGCCTGCAGACACTTCCACATTGGTGTCTTGGGGTCTCCCGGCCAGGCACCCACCTTTCTGAGGAACTGCAAGACCCCTAGGAACGAGTGGAGACCTGCTTCTGCACTACAGTCAGCATTACAAGAAGAACAAATCTTCCCTTTGAAAGCCCCAAACACCCCTCAGGCAGCGATGGATCTGCATGATTGAAAAGAAAGTGGAGGTCCTTGCCACTGTTACAAAACCAGTTGGTGGGGACAAGAATGGTGGTTCTCAGGTGGTGACACTTTACTAAATGCCTAGATATTATCCCACCGAAGATGTGCCTCGAAAGTTGTCGAGTCCGGCAAACCACCACTTAGTCAGCATGTGAGAAAACTGCCA